TGTATAACAGAAAAAAATTCAGTGGAATTTATTTACAATATGTTATAATCAGTTATTCAATGAATATTAATTTTCTATGAATGGTAGAACTAAGAGAACAAGTTACTCGTTATTAAATACAAATAAACATTCTGTACCATGAGGTATGTTCTTAGTAATAGTTTTTAAAAGTGCTTGGTTCAAAACTGTTGGTGCCAGGTTCAACTCTTTACCATCTGGTTCAATTTAAGTGGCTGGAGTGTCACTGCCTCTTGCATTACAGGTAACAACTTGGTTAATTATATAATTGGATACATTTAATGAAACTCAATGAACAATTTTTCTTGATTAACTTACCATTCACAGACAAGTCTGTTTATCTACAAAACTATGCATGTCGCTTACTCACATCTGTTACTTCTCGTGGAGGAGTATAGGCCGCCCACCAGCATTCTCCATCCAACTCTGTCCTGGATACTCCTTTCCAGTTGTTATTCGTATCTGGTTCTGTTTCCCGATGTAATGTGTTATTTGACCTTCCTCTTTTTCGCTTCCTTTTACGATCCCAATTTAGGGCTTGCCTCGTGATGCAGTTTGATGATTTCCTCAATGTATGTTCCATCCATTTCCATCGTGTTTTCCTAATTTCTTGTTCAGTTGGAAGCTGGTTCGTTCTCTCCCACAGAAGGCTGTTGCTGATGGTATCCGGCCAATGTATGCTGAGTATCTTGCGAAGACAACTACTTATAAATACTTGTACCCTCTTGATGATGGTTGTAGTAGTTCTCCAAGTTTCAGCTCCGTATAGTAGAACTATCTAGCCGTTTTGATATTTTTCGACTAAAATATATATCCCTATCTAGATCTTGGGTATATTCAACTTTGTTAAACAACTCAGTCTCGTTTTATTATCAACAACTCTTTTTCCCAAATTCCTTAACGGCTACTTAATATCAGCGTGGATACTACAAGAGAAGAAAAACAATGAAATTATGCACACTTGAACCAACAGAACGAACTCAAAACCAATATGCCTGTGAGATTAGTTTTTTATAACTGTATTACGCACGAGTAACTAGCCTCTTATTGTACAATTTCTTTTTAGATTTCACTGGTTTATCATAAACTAACTATTCACTTATTATCTGTTGATAAGCATTCTGATTGTCCGGATAAATTGAAAGTTGTTATCCGATTTTTCTCCCCCAAGAGATGAATTTTATTACTAGATTTATCAATTCACATGAGTTTTTATTTTGAACTAAATATTAATTAATGAAGAACCATTCTTGATTCAGATAAATTCATATATAAACATTCCAATAATCTTTGACTTTAATCGACTTAAGTTATTCCGGTGAATCTAACAACGCATATACTAACTCAGATGACATCCTAACCACTATTGTAGTAAAGGAGAACACAAGTGAGGACAATCGAATTGTAATTAACACAAAATTACAAAGTTACTTGGTAAAATAGAAAAACCATATAGTAAATCGTTAATTTGCAAAATATCAATCCATCATACCAAACCTAACTGTTTCTGTTGCAAACATCAATCCATTGTCTCACATTTCATTGTTCATGCGTTTTCTTACAATTCACATTGTACTCCCGCTCTTCCTTTCTTGATCTCCCATCTGATGTCAGACTCTACGTTCATTAACTCGCGTTATATACTACTTATATCAATATAAGTAGCACACACGACACTATATGATAATTTCGACATTCTTAGAGAAAATCGACAAACGAGGACTAAAACCATATCACTGCATTAAACGGTATCAAAAGACATTGTATGTTCTGTTTGATATTTCGAGGGAAATAATTAGAAAACTAAGCAAGCACTTTTAAATAGTTTACCCACAATAACTACATTACGATACTAAAAGTGGTTGGCCAAACGAGTGAAGTAGTGATATTTGACTTTAAACGAGTGTAAATTAAAGGTTAAGGTTATGCTTCAATAATCTTATTTTAGACAGTCGTTTACCATATTTAACCCTCAAACAGTATGACAAAAGTGTGAGAATTGTAATTCATAGGATCATTTAGAGAAATCCATAAAAGCCATCACATGTGGAATAATTTTAAATATTCTAGGAAAGCCTTATACCGTAAACTAAAATCCTAAAGAAAGTCTAAGTGGTTCAACTTCACACTTAATTGGCTGTACTGTTCTGTTTAACCAAACAAATGTGTTTATAAATTTCATGCAATTGGTTCCCTTTATGAATTTAAATAAAGCAAGAACAAATATTGATGCAGAATGGCATGAATTCATATTATTTCGAGGTTTCTCGTCAGTGGCTTACAAACCAAAATTGTGATAGAATTTTTACAATGAGATAGAGTGAGAACAATTGACATAGATGAGTGTAAATAACTGGGTTACCATAATAACTATATATATACATATATATGCTAGAACAGGTCAGAGGTCAAAAGGAACTAATTCGGGTTGGGTGGTGTAATAAAGGAATTGAATAATCATAAGATAGGTTACGTAATAATAATTAAATAGAATTTGAAAAGTTAAGATAATTTAGGAGGATCAGGTGGTGGAAATGTGTGAATAATAATGTGGTTTAAGAATTATGTAATAGGGGAGGAATATAAATACTTTGAAATAAATAAAAATATAATAATAATAATAATAATGATAATAATAATAATAAAGGGTTACCAGGGTAGTGATAAGTTAATTAAAGTCTCTTTTTGAATGCATAAGTCAGGTTTAAGTTTTTTGATCATAATAGCTTCAGCAAAACGGAGGGTGGTCGTACTTCTTTGTCTATTGATAATTTTGAAAGCATGAGGAATGTCGATGGTGTACCCGGTGTCAAATAGATGTCGAGCTATTGCACTGTTGAAAGCCATGGTCCCACGCAGCCTTAAGTTTTTTGGAACATGCTCAGAAATGCGGACATGCACTCTTCTCTCAGTTCTTCCAATGTATGTGCTTTGGCACGTACATGTAAATTGGTAGATGCAGTTGGAGCTAAGAAAAGAGGGCTTGTCGATTTTGGTTTGTTGAAGTGAGCAGTTCGTTTGCCATACTGTCATAAGTTTTGCTGCTGGGTAGGTGACTTTCAACACAGAGTTTATTCTGTGATTGATTATTCCAGTGATTTCATCACCTTTGAAACGTAAGTGTAAGAAGCAGGTTTTTCTTTCTACTCCATCGTATTTTGTATGAGGATTGCTTTTTGCATATTTCTGGATAAATTTCAATGGGTATTCATTATCGCGTAGAACATTAGTAATCAGATTAAGTTCATCATCAAGGTATTCTTTTGAACAGATTTTTTGAGCGCGGTCAAAAAGGGTTCGAACAATACCCTTTTTGTAACTCATTGGGCAGAAACGGTGGTAATTGAGATAAAGACCACTCCAGGTATTTTTATGGTGAATATGTCTATATTATTTACCATCAGATGTTCATCGGATCCCAACATCAAGGAAATGGAATTTGTCTCCAGCTTCTTGTTCCATAGTAAACTCTATGTCCTCGTGTGACAACTGTTGATATAAATACTCAAACTGGGTTTCAGTGTCTATTCTGTTGCATTTTTTTCGGAATGTGAAATTTAAATCCAAGAGAGAGTGCTTCAGTTTCAATTCGAGTTAGTTTTTTACTGGATAAATTCTGTACGTATTTTTCTGGATTCGTAGAAAAGGCGCTATGTTTTTGTTCTTTCACAAGTGTTTTGGTTAATGTCTTGTGAAAAGTATTATCATGCAAGTACTTCAATATATCAAAATACAGATTCCAACTACAGGACGCGACGGTTTCGAGGAAAGTTGATTCTGGAGGGAGAGGCAGAAAGATAAGACATTTATTCAGGTGTTAACATGTCTTATTATTTACGCCCTCCAGAACTAATTATCTCCAAGGCCATAGAAAGAATGTTCTAAAACGGCAATCAAATAAACTGAGTAGAATTTCGTTTTTCTCATTGAGTGGTCAACGACTGGAACGGCTTAACCGAACAAATGATATCAAGTCTATCAGTGAACACTCAATAAATTGGATTTCCAATGGAAAATAAGCCGCAATAATTAACACAGGTCACTGAAGACTGAAAATATAAATCTGAAGTCAATAATACACATTATAATAAGCAAAATGATTCCCGCTTACAGCTTACTGATAAGAAGCTATTTGCAAATGTGCTCATTGGTGGGATAGCACCGTTAACCGTAATGATTACATAAGTGAACACTTGTTTAATTAACAAGCAATACGTATCAGCATCTTAATTAAAAACACTTTGTCTGGTCCACCTGACGTATCACCTGATAACAGGCCTTAAAACCCGAAATTCCTCAAACCACTAAACTAACAGATTTCGGCGCAACATTTATTGAGGAATGCTTTCGATTTACACAAACCCTTTGGTAATTGGCTGAAAAGTGGTTCCGAAATCACACGATTATTTTAAGAATCATTCAAGCTTTTTTCCATATAACTATACTTTTGCCAGTTTTCGTTGTTTTCTTTCACTAAAAACATGTTGCCCACTTAACTTATCGCAGCTGTTAAATGAACAAGTGGTGTCATTCATGGTTACTTCAAAATAAAATATCGAGTCATCATCATCATCATCATCAACGGTATAGAGCCTGGTACATGTGTGAGTTGATCCATGTTGCCATACTAGATTAGCGTAACGAGATTAAAGTAACTAACAAATGTTAAAATAATATGATAGCAATAATATAAAGAAAGAGTAAATCTTGCAAGATAAAGACGACACTGAACCATATCACCCAAAGTCGCTAACCACTGACTGTAGTTAACGCGCTGATACCAACCCGAGTTAAAAATTTACCAGTATGAATTAGACCAACAATCAAAGTTTTCATAGACTGATAACATGTTTTGATTTAGCCACCTCTAGCCTCTTCCCAACTCATAAAAGAAATATGAAAGAAATAATAGTAGAAGACAAAACAACAAATTTACAAAACTGAAACATAAATGAGTTTTTGTGAGAGAGAAACAAGTTGTTTTATTTCTTTTTCTTTTTGTCGTGTTTATGTTTTTTCTGATGTCCTGTACCATTATTATTACTAACGTCACTAGTATTCGATAAGAATTTATGTTCAGTTAACAAAAGGCGAGCAACATTGTTGATATGTTTGAATCGATCAGGTCCAAGTTGGATACCACCATACCATCGACTTACCTAGAAAATAGAACACACAAACATACACAAACTACAAATGGCAAAAACAAAAATATGAAAACATTTAGGAGATTAAAGAAATAAGGTTTAGCCAGATATTTCAAATGAATTTTGACGTGTAGATGAAACACAACGATGTATTAATTAAGAAGTGGATCCTTGTAAAGAATATGTCATACAGAGAAAAATAAATCAAAAATCACTTGAATAGAATTCAAGAAAACTTGCAACTTTCTTTTTAAAATACCGCCAATCATTCGATAAAAACTTTGTGGATGAGTTGAAAGCTGCTAACTAACCAAATATTATCTACTATGAATACAGTAAAACTTCGGATTTTACAGTCCTTAAACCTTAATTATTACACTCGTGCAACGAGAATTATTTGTGAGCCTACAATACAGATTCCTCTCAATGAGTTTCACCTGTTTTCTATTTCTTCATTTGTTTTCTGATATTTTATGTTGCCCTGTCTCTCAAGGTAAAAATCAGATTGTATGTAGCAAGGAGGTTCAAACTAATATTACTTTTTGGGGAGATAATAAAAGATTTGTGGGCTCCTACACGAGGGGTAACAGGCGTAAGTAAAGTAAGTCTTTGTAAAAGGCTGACGTTACTCTTTTCACTGTCTAAATGGGTCAACAGCAACTGAAGTGTAATTGCAAGGAAACTGTTTGATTTCCATTTCATAAGTGTAAGACAAGTCATTATTTTATTATAACTTGCTCTAGGAGGAAACAGCTTTCTAGTGCTTCCAAGTTTCAAAAGGTTTGTCATGATTGTCGTGATTTAAATGAAATATTAAAGATGCGTTGCTCTCCCTTTAAGGGGAGAATGTTACTTCATGATTGGTTTGTATTATAGTTCAGATTGATCATAAAGAATAAGGTAGCTAAGTGGATAAACCATTTAACGTATCGAAGTTTCATTTGCTTTATTGGGTTGGTTTGATGAAATATTGGAGATAAAGAAGGCTCGCTTGACGTATACTAACTAGCATCTCTTTGTGGCCTTCGCGTGTCGTTTCACTGCACGGCAGTTTGCTGTCATATTTTATAGCTGTGAAATATCGCAACATTCGTCGGCTACTACTATTTGATCACAGATGTCCTTGAAGCATTGAGAACATCTATTTACTGACTATCGGTCGAAGCCATATCGGTAGATACATACTAGCTGGTTGGTATCCACGTGATTACTGTGATCAATGGTTAGATATGTGGAATGACATGAGTTACGATAGATCACAGTAGCCTAGATGCACTGGCTCTTTATCGTTATCTGGATTTTGAGTCCAAGCATTTCTTTACCCATGCCTTTTTATTCAATTTACTCGAACAATATTTTGAACGTTTGATCTTTTTCACCATAATTTCAACTACAATTATTTCGAATCTCATGCTATTCATCTCATCATGCTGATCTAATATGACTAGCCAATATTTGTGCCTAGGTTTACAGTGACTATGACTAAAAGAAGTAGAAATAAATTCAGTCTAACGAGAATCTAGCCAGCTAGAAAGAAGCGAATACATCATAGGTAGATCCAAACATTGCACACTAATAAGAGTGGAAGCAAAAGGGCGAGTCAAAAAATGTGACCATCAAAAAGGGGAAAATTAATAAATGCGGGCATTGAAATGGGAAATAACATTTTTAATGTTCGCTTAGCCCTTTATCCTGTATTGACATGCCCCTTTTTAATGGTCCCGCATATTAATGTCCACCCCTTTACACTAGCCCTTTCGATAGTCAACCTTTTGCTTGCACCCTTCAGGATGACTACTACTCCAAACACGACACATTTAAAGTCGACCATCAAATAATTTTGGTTAACAGTAGCTATCCACAATTAACGTATCGGTGTTTTCTCCGAAGATTGGCACAAAAGGATAAACAATGTAACACTTTGAAAAAAATGTGATAGGAGACAGCAATGACTTTTAACTCAAAGGACTGAACCTTAAGAATAATTAGACATTAGACCAGTTACACTGATTAGTAATTTTGCTGCCTTCGATTATTTGGTATTCAGCAGTGTAACCAAGAAGACTAAATCTACAAAGCCATTTTGTTAAGAACATTTAAATTTGCCCAAGTAGTGGAAATTGATCAATAATGTCTACAGTTGCCACTAAATAGGTTAATATTATCTGTTAAGAACTGAACTACACTATTGCTCAGATGAAAACCAACGAAGAACAATTTCCCCTGTAGAGCATACCATGGTCAAATAAGATGTAACAAACTATATGTTAATATTACAACTTGGTACCTTGAATAATCGCCAATATTAAATACAATTTTTCAGTTATAACACTCACCATAACCGCTACATTTTCAATTCCTGATAATGTAAGTAAATGTAATAGTCGACCACCTGCATGTGTTTCGCCATCATCGTCACAGTCAGCTTCTTTGGAGGAGATACGCCAAGCTAGGATATTATGAGTAGCTGTAGCAACTTTTCTATCCGTAAGCAGTGTTGATATAAAAAGGGATACTTCACCACGGGTAGAAACACGTGCACAATGAGCCTATACAGTCAACCGACATAGTCAATATTAGTATTTTATTAATGCCGCTCATATTGAACAGTATTATTTCATCTCAAAAAACATCCCACAGCTTAAACGGAATTTTAGCCGACTCATGGTTCAAACGCTAAGTTATCAAAGCAAAATGTAATCAATAGTCAATCGCATCAATCCGTAATTTGGTGATAAGTTGCATTAAAAACCACAATTTTCAAAAAACCAAAGTTACTTATATTGTTCAACTTAGAATATCAACCTACTTACGTAGAACTGTCCTAGAGAAAACCAAGACTTCAGCGAAAATATATTTCTGTATGTGTATTCTCCTGAAAGATTATTAAGGAACTATAACAAACAAGTTAATGAAAATATCATAGGGAGATCTCAATATACGTAATGCTACATAAAACATCTGGTAACTAAAAGCCTGTATGTTACGTTGTTTCGACTCTGATAATCATTCGTATATGCAAATAACCACTGCTGGGGAAGTCCTATTCACTTCCTTCATGTGGCGGCAGTGTTGTCTACGAAATTCAGGACGAAAAGCGAATATCCGACGTTTTAACCGGGTCGGATTTTTAAGGATGGTGGTCTAGTATTAGCAATGAGATTAACTGAGGTCTTAGGTAGAATTTGGGAACTGGACGTAATCCCATCTGACTGGTCTCAATCACTGATTGTGCCAGTCTATAAGAAAGGACAAAAGTCCTCTTGTGACAATCACACAGGAATCAGTTTGACTAATATAGTGTCTAAAATATTAGCTTCAATAATACTTCGACGCCTAACTAAAGCTCGTGAAGAGCAGACTAGAGAAAACCAGGCTGGTTTTCGACCTGGACGTGGTTGTATCGATCAGATATTCACACTACGTCAGGTTCTAGAACACAGACACACATTCAGACGCCCCACAATGGTAGTATTTCTCGACCTTAAGGCGGCATTCGACTCCGTTGATCGTGAGGTTCTATGGCAGTGTTTGTCACTGAAAGGAGTACCAAAGAAGTACATTAACCTTATAAAGGCTCTCTACTCGAACACAACTGGTAGAGTGAGAGCTTATGGCGAACTGTCATCAGAATTGATCACCTCAAGTGGTGTTCGTCAGGGCTGTCCACTCTTCCCATTCTTGTTCAACTTTGTCATTGACGTACTTTTAGAGATAACACTCTCCTCATCTAAATTTACAGGGGTTGAACTTCTACCAGGAGGTTCACTTGTTGACTTAGAATATGCAGATGACATAGTTTTATTTGGTGAAGACGCTGACAAAATGCAGAGTCTTCTGACCACTCTAAGCAACAATGCAAGCATGTTCGGGATGCGATTCTCTCCCTCGAAATGCAAAATGTTGCTTCAGGATTGGGTTACATCGACACCCGAACTAGTGATAGGAAGTGAAGTAGTTGAGTGTGTCGACCGCTTCACTTATCTTGGAAGTCTCATCAGCCCTTGTGGTTTGGTGTGTGACGAAATCTCAGCACGGATACAGAAGGCTCGACTAGCTTTTGCCAACTTGCGTCATTTATGGCGTAGGCGAGATATCCGTCTATCAACCAAAGGACGTGTTTACTGCACAGCAGTTCGTTCCGTCCTACTTTATGGCAGTGAAACATGGCCGGTAAGAGTAGAGGATATCCGTAGGTTACTAGTATTTGATCATAGGTGTCTTCGAAACATTGCTCGTATATCATGGGACCATCGAGTAAGTAACACAGTTGTTAGGAAACGGGTACTAGGTAAGGATGGCAAATCAATTGATGAAGTAGTGAAACTTCATCAGTTGAAATGGCTGGGACACGTGTTACGTATGCCCTACGACCGACTGCCTCGACGTGCTATGTTCAGTGGTATAGGAGTAGGTTGGAAGAAAGCTAGGGGCGGCCAAACCAAAACATGGCACAAGTCCATGAAGTCACTGACAAGTGAACTGAGTCATGTTGGTAGGTGTAGACTACCTGGTTGGGGACCGCGAGATGACAGCAACCGATGGTTAGAGACCCTGAATGACATGGCTCAAAATCGTTTGCAATGACGCAGGTGCATCCACTCTCTGTGTTCTCCCAAACTCTAATCTTCTGAATTCTTCATGTCCCTTTTTTCCTCTTTCCAAATTTCTTTCACTGGATTATACTCTTTAAATAACATCTCCAAACCCTAATCTTCCCGATTACTGCTTATACTCTTATTACCTCTATCACTACGGGATTTGAATCGACAAGTGCATCTCTGTGCTAATGTGGTGTGGCAACTCGAACTGATGTACGTACGTACGAAGTTCTACGTTGTTACTGACTGACTGACTTAACCGGGTCGGTGGACACAGAGAGTCCACCTAGGGGAGTTGGAAAACCCTGATCATAAACCAATGGTCATATGGGTCACAGGATCCTGAAGGAACAAATGGCGTATGAACCAGTCGTTGGTAAGCGGCTATCATGAGACTGCATCTCTTTACGTTGCTCCAATGCCTTGTGGATTAGACCTTTAGGTCAAAGGCTCGGAATGCGGCCATCTAAGAAAACCACCTGCTTGGGTTTTGGCAACCGAGCAGTATCCCAGCCCTCACAAAAATCGAATGAGATTTGTGTGGCGCATACTTATTTGGTGCCTCCTTGTACCAATGTTTATTATGTTAAATAAATAAATATCATTCGTATAATTGGCTCTTTTTCCAAACTGAACATACTAAAGTACTTATGTTAAGTTTATGGAAGCAAATATATATGTTGTTATGTGTAACTATCAACTGAAAAAAAAACAGAAAACGACAATGACGATAATGGAACTACCTACGAAAATAATTAGGAATTCTTGTAATTACTAGATAAAACAAGTTAACTCCCCGTCAACTAATATTACCAAATGAGAAATTAACAGAAAGTAAATATACTTTAGAATGTTTTGGAACCAGAATAATAGAAGTATAATTATTTTATGGTAATCTCTTGAGAGGTTGTGCAAATGAAAACAATAAATAACATTCTTTAACAATCCACTTAGACGAAAACAATCCATTATCACCAAGTTATTTCCTTAACTATCCTACAAGTACTCTCGTCTTACACCTTGTATCCTTAACACTTCGAAAGTAGTTAACACAAAATACAAGTGTAGAACAATCGTGTGCCAGTCATGATATATAATTAACGTAGATCATGTCACGAATGTCCGTCAACGAATGTGTCAGAACAGTTGTAATAGTAAAAGCATCAGTGGTAGTAGAGAAGAGAATACGATTTAAAAAGAATCAGTTTGCAGAATAAGACGTATAAGATCATTTTAAGATTAAAGAGCTATAGGAAAACAGTGAATGTACCTGCACCATTGGACCAACTTTGGGCAATTTCACCCACAGAATAATCATGAATCTACAGTTCAAAAACCAACATTTCAGTAATAATCAATGAATAAATAGCTAATATCTAAGGAATACTTATAGTTACGTAGGTACTTATTGATAAACGGTGCTCTTGTTTAAAACAATCACTTTCAATAAAAATATTCCCATACGTCACACCGAAAGTATAGTTTGATATGAAACAAATATCGACCTTTTAATCACTAAGATAGTTACCTGGAAAACGCTTTTACGATCTATAAGCGGTTCACCATGATAAATCTCTGGTACTTTTGAGTTTAAAGCAAATGGCAAAATTTGGGGAGATATGTCAAGATGAGATTTTACTGAAGGCACCGATACAACCGCACTTGGTAGTTCGTGATTTTCCGGCACAGACTGTGATGATTCTTCAACTTTATGAATGGTTAGATTTTCAGTACTCGAAGACAAATAATTACACATGAATGATCGAACAGTCTCAACCAACAAATAAACAACTGGGGAGCCAAGTGAAGACGAGACTACAAGCTGCAATTGTTTGTCGAGTTCATTAAGAATATTACACTTGAGCCAAGGTGCATGCAATCTGAAAATATAGATGATAACATCACAATACGAACTCATATTTTACTGGATTGATCGAAGGATAGCCAGGGACTTGCTGGAATTTCAGGATAATTTGTTCCTTGCTAGTAGTATCACCCATTTTTGAGTCGATCCTTATCTCGTAGACTCTATGACTCCATATAATTAGCAATAAATTTACTTGTTCTCAGGCTCCAAGATAAAAAAGTCCTCTTCATATATAGCAGAGAGAACTTCTATTTCTTCTGCTGCTTCTGTTAAATCATACGGCTGATCATTTGAGAGGTTCATTCGCTTTACTCCTACTTCTAAATTTATAGTATATATACACACGAGTAGTGACGAACCGTTTAGACGAAAAACAGACTAACATACCTACTTTCCAAGCTCAACAACAGTCATTATTTTTATGAAAATCTAATAAAAAAATTAAACTGGATGGTTTTTTTCGCTGGTAAATACACACCGGATTTTAAATAAGTTAGTATTAAAAATGGAATAAATGCTCAACTGACTGTATTGCCTGATTAATTTGATGGTCATATACATAATACCTGGCCAACTTATCATCAAATACACAACATTGCTTTACACTGGTAACGTCAAAATATAGCAAGTGGCTGAGGATGCTCAAGTAAGTGGACTTCAGTTCGAAATCAACAACCTGTTAAAGTGGTCACTGATATGGAAAAACCCTAAGAATAGAGCTGCGTCACACTGAGTATTGGATATCCAAATAGCACAAACTACAAAACTAAATCTTTATCCCACTAGTATTAACTTACAAAGGCCATAGGATCACAGCAAGTTATCTTTTAAAGACTGGCTCACTACTGTTCGGTTGAAGCCAGATATTAAAACAGTGACGACATTAACTTTCATAAAGTGAGGTAAAATTATGTTTAAAACTGTTCATATGGCTTTAGCAATATCCGAACCAAAAAATATATAGAGGTCATAGGCCCCTGTTTGGAAGACGACTAATATCTTGCAATGAGTGCAAAGGATCATTACGTAGCGGGTATTTGCTTAACCCCTGAGCTACACGCTTAACCTTAAAATGGGCTTGATGACTTAAACGTTTTTACATAATCCTACGGAAAGTGGAAAAGACCTAATTATTACTCAATAGATACTAGGTGATTTCGAGCTTGGCATACTACTTACTCTCATATAAGGAATACTCCAAGAACACAACGGATGGATTTAAAGGCTAAAACAGGCAAAATCGCCGTAGAGTACAGGTTTTCCCAGTGAGTAACCAGAACTAGAAACCTACTACCGCAAGAACTAGCTAATTAGGGAGAAGACTAGACGAATGCAGAAGGATATTGAAAAAGAACTAACTCCAGAATGCTAAACGTGCAGCACAAACGCGAAAATCAACTGAAATCAACGTGGTTGTTGAAAGATCAATACAGATGTTTCTAGGGAAGCACTCCACCTACGATAAATTGTGCTGAAGGTTGTACTCACTGTGAATTTATGCCGTCAAAAAGTGACAAATAAGGGTCCTCTACGTTCTAACCCCAAAGAAGGTGAAGAATGAGAATAATTGGCGCCCTTTTTTGTTAACAATACATCCCAAGGGACGTCGCGTTCATTTGAGTCATGTTTGCCTTTATTTCCCCTTTTTGCTAGGGTATTATTTACGAAGTAGTGTATGGTTGGTAGTGTTTTTTGAGACAGCGACCGACGTTCTTGTGGTATTAGTTCGGCTACAATCGTATAAATTTGTACAGACATGTCAATGACCCACAAGACATCTTGTTACAAGTAGATTTTCCTACGGAGAAGTACAACGTCCGGCCTTAGGTAAGTTTACATCTTGCCTGAAGTTGCTTTATGTGCTGAGACATGTAAGCTTACATGTCTGCTCTTACAAACGAACGAGGGTAAAAGTGAGCCAAATACTCAACGAGTGCATAGAACTCGCTTGCATTTATTGAAGAAAGCCATCGATGACAATCATATATAACAAGCATGGTTAAAGATAACTTACAAGTGATATTAAAGCAGCGCTAGAACGACCTTCACACTATCCACCTACCTATAAGGATTAAATAAGGGTTAGAAATTGATGTCAGGTATAAAGATCACGGTTAACAGTTGGTCGTTAGGGTTAAGAACTAGATTTTGGCTTTCCATCACGAACTGACATCAATCAAAATCCCAAATGTCATCTAGCCAAGTGAGTGGATGAAATTTGCGCTAAACCTTGAATCGGTTTCAATGATCCATATTTTTTATTATTTATGGCAATCACATATATAGAACCAGAAATTATTAACGAAATGTTCCAAATACATTGGTGGAAATATATGTTAATCATTCAGATGCCATGATGATTTAATGTCCGACAGATATCAAAGGAAGTAACCAAGCATAAAATTATCTGAATAAAGTTCGTTTTTCAAATGCCTAGATTGTCGTCATTACGTCATTATGCAAAGTATAAATGAGTGATCCTTAAGAGATCATTAAAAGCGGACCCACCATATATACTGCACTCATTTTCGGAAAGAAAGGGGATTTTTAGTGAATATTGTTATGTCCTTGGCTATACGAATATCGCGAAATGCGACTATCAATTTAGATATGCCAACTTATATGACCAAAATAATGACGTATACACCAATACGGACAGCCTGCAGTTCAGACGTGTTTTTCTCAGTCTAGTCCTGCCTCTCAAGTCCTGAATGCCAATCTCAGCCTCCGCGATAGTAATCATATTTTTCAAATATAATGGGTTTATGTATAAACAAATCAGACCACATCGCGCAATGTAATAGAAAATAACACCTGTACAAGCAAAGGCAAAGATTGACTGTGATCGTGATAAACTGCTACCAATAGATTCAAAATAACTTGAGAATAGCAAATCATATAACAGCAACCAATAGGCCGTAAAAAGCTTATATTGAAAGTAATATGAACAGACATATAATATAGTTCCTCACTAGTCCATAAGTAATGCTTAACGGCTATCATTCATTAATTCTTGCCCGGATATCATATATGTAACGGCGAATTAATCCTCAAAATAAATATTTCACTTAGTCTTCAACATTGATGCTGGCCTCATTGGTCTTACTAGACACACACCAGCTCAAGGCGCTCAGTCACGCATCCTCACTAGGTCAGGAGCGGGAACGTCATGCTACTTCCTTTGCAATCATTAGTCACCTTAGACCAAAAGCTTTTCGATATATCAATGTGTTTCGAAATATAACTTCGAACCCTTACGTTTCTGACCTCTGGGTTGAATGAAAGGATATACTTTGATCATAAAGGTGTTTTGCGTAAAAGCATTTGTCTTTGTTACTAGAATAATAGCGCTGATTGAAAATCCTATACCTGCCATGATGGAAATGCCTAATGTATAGAAAGTGAAGTGGAAGTCACATCGTTGTCTGTATGCTAAATGGCGAAAAATTGGGAGAATTTCGTGTGAGGCCTTGCCAAAATCGAAGTATGAAATTATCGCCGATTAACCGACGTCTTTTCGCTAGGTATTTTGGTTAAAAGTTTTCAAGTGCGATGTGAAGCTGATGTAGTAATCGCAAACCCATGTTGAGAGGTACTAGTAGGGCTTGTCGGTAGTGTTAACAGATGTTGGTGGATGATTTCTTCCATCTTAATAGAGCCACGATTTGCAACATCACTTCATGATCGTGTTTTGAATCTGGAAGCATTAAATGAATTGTTCCGTACATATGGATAGGCTCCGTGATCCATGAAAATATTGAGCCGTTTCAAACATAACAAAAGAAATTCACTATCACCTCACTTCACGAACGGTACAGGAATCTCGTCAGGTCAACCGTCGTAGGACGTTTTCAAAATATTTGGAGCCTGCTTGTTGTTGGTGAATGTAAAGTGAGTTGTGGATAAAACTTTATCTATCAGCATTAGCACAACATCAATGCGAAGATGTGCATTTCGTGGTGTAGCACTGTCAGAAGTGGTTGTTGAATCGATCACATATAGTATCAATATCGTCTACAATGTTACCGTTGAACATAAGGAATGTAGTTTGTTGAAAAAATGGTCGACACACACATCAAATGTAAATTGCTGAAAAACATGAAGTTTAAATGCATGTTTATAGTGCTTCAGTGAACATTTGGTCATGAGCGTAAACAACGAGGTCTAACAGTGAATTGGAAACCGTGAGAACTTTAAGGAACATGTGACGTTTAATGTCTAAATTTCTGAACTGTCAACCAATTTTCCGTGTAACTATGGGCAGTGGAGAATATGTCATATATCATTCAAGATGCTTCGAAATTATCCTTATAGTAGCGCATGGATAGTTTGTGATTCGTGGGCCAGACTATTTCCCTTAGAATATGACCTGTGATGTTACAATCATCGTCAATAAATGAAATGGAAGAAGGTATGAAGAATCGAACTGACAAGCAGGTCGCTGCTGCTGATGCGAAGACTACAGATTTTCAAACCTCTACATGTAAGTGTATATGAGTATATTTCAGGTTGTTGCGTGTAAACACGAAAATTTCACTCTGCAGACAAAGTAAACAATATGAACATATCCAACGAAACAAAAAACGCACAAACAACAAAGTGTTGAAAGGTATGGCGAGCGCTTTGCGATGTCTAGAGAAAATTTGACAATTTTTTTCTTGGAAATTAGTAATAAACAGGTAATACTTCCATTGCTTTAACGCTTACTTTGAGTACTCCATCTTACTATAGGAAACGAGACCGGAATAAATGTAAGCGTGTAGAAGTGACCGGAACCATTAAATATAGGTTCTTTGTTGTTGTATTTTTAACCTCATTATATACACAACTTGTAAACTGATTTTTCTCCATCATATATTCTTTTTCCTTTACTAGTAGTAATGATATATCAATGAACTTTTGCTCAGTTTTCATTACTTACGTTAGCGATCTACACTAGTGGGTAAGACGCTGAATAACGCAAACTATTATTATTGCATTCCGTGTTTATTGTTTTTATTTTTTTCGTCGCTTAATTGCATTAATTTCACTGAGCCCTAGCCAAATCATCCGGCAGTTGGGCCACTTAATGTCGAGCACTTCATTGATCCTCTCCAAGGCCAAGGACCACCACTGCGTGTGCCAGTCCATAGCGTGCAATTAATGGATGCGTGTTGGTTGTCATTGCCCTTGACGACGATTAATGAAAAGTTTGACAACTGCCTGATAACTTGGCTAGGAATCAGTGACATTTCACTAGTTCCACTGTGATAATGGCTAGATGTTCATTTAAGCTCCTCATAAGGCAAGTATCGTGATCCTGC